TGGGTGACTGTGAGATGATGGATATATTAATTTGCTTCACTTTAGTAACCTTTTATTTATATATATTTATATATATAATCACTATCAAATATATTATATACAGTAATTATATGTTTATTACAATCACTATTTTATAATTTATATAATTTATTTATATCATTATAACAATCACTATTATGTATAATTATAATACATATTTCTATATTTTTTATTTACTTATTTTTTTGAGTTGGAGTCCCACTCCATCACCCTGCTGGAGTGCAGTGGCACACTCATGGCCACCCCAGTGTCAACCTGCTGGGCTGCAGCGATCCTTCCGCCTCAGCCTTCCAAGTAGCCGGAACTACAGGCACACGCCACCACGCCTAGCTAATTTTTTAATTTTTATTGTAGAGAAGAGGTCTCACCATGTTGCCCAGGCTAGTCTCGAACCCGTGGGCTCAGGCAGTCCTCTCAGCTCGGCCTCCCAAAATGCTGAACCTACAGGCCTGTGCCACCTTGCCCTGCTATATATATATTTATAATATATATAAACTTATTTACCTATTATGGTCTATTTATATATTATATATAATATATATGTATCCCATAACATCATGTTGCATATCCTAAATATACAAAATACAACTTACTAACCAAAAATTGGCAAAGTCTAGGGGCCACATCTTCGTGGTGTGCTCGGCACGGCCAGCTTCCCCAGGGACATCGACCTGGAGCCACCACTGGGCAGCGCTGCCTCTTCTTTAAATCCAGAGTATTTTGTTGTGCGCTTGTGCACCGCTCTCTCGGCACAGAAGATGGTTACCCTTGAGAAATAGAATTTCATGAAAACTCAGGTGGATGTTGAGGACTGGCCAAAGTAGAAGTTGGTATCTTATGGCACATGTGTCACAGGAATAGCTTTTGTGGTTTTCTCGCACTTGCGTATCCACTGACTCATGAGAGAGGTGGTTTGAGAAACCTTGCAAGGTTGGTTTGACCACACTAAGGAATACACGCAGGAGGCCCAGCCAACAGGGGCCACGTGGGGCATCTGCAGACAGCTGACTCAGTCCGCGGCCCGGGAACCCGTGGTGGAGCCCCGCCTCCAGCCACCCGTTGAGCCACCCTCTTCCTGACAGCGATGCTGGAGGAACCCACGTGGCGACAAGAGCCGGGCAATGCTGGCAGCACTGCCTGTGGCCACTGAGCCAGCCACCTGCGCTAAGGAGGCCGTGTCCATCGAGTCTTCTGTTTTTCCTAGTGAGGGTCTGCAGCTTGTCTTCAGTGGTGAGAAAGCTCCCCCTGGACCCCCAAACAGGAGTGTGGGAAGGGGGGTGTTGCAACATCACAGGTTTTGTGTTTTAGCACCTTCAGCTGGCACCTGCCGGGGATTTAGGGGTGACTTTAGAAAGGAGAGGGTGGGTGTGGAGGAGACGGGAAAGGGAGAGAGAAGGATGGTGGATGAGGTGGCGCCTAACACGGAGGGTGGGGCATAGGCGGAACCTGAGCCCCGCCCACTCTGCCCCTGATGTGTGTGGGGCAAAAGCTTGCTGTGTGAATGAATGCACGCTTTCTTTCAGACGCCTTTCTTTTCCCCTAGAATAGTAGTCCAGAACCTCATTTCAACCTGATAGCCTCCACACAGACTGTGATATGCCCTCTGTGGGCTCAAAGCGAGGTGTAGGAAGGAGATTTTAAATGTTTACACTTATTTATTTAAATATTTGAATAATTAATATATTTATTTACTTGAGTTGGGGTCTCACTCTATTGCCCAGGCTGGAGTGCAGTGGCATGTTCACGGCTCACCGCAGCCTCCACCTCCTGAGCTCAGATGATCCTTTGGGCTCAGGGGATCCTTCTGCCTCAACTTCCTGGGTAGCTGGGACTACAGGCATGAGCCACCATGCTCGGCCAAGATATTTATGCATATTTTACCCTCACTCTGTTTACTACTTTGTGTATGTTTTATACAGTAATATATTAGTACATGTATGGCATTTATAAAAACAGTATTCTCCACACACACACTCGGGGTAGTACTCATGATTTCTATTGATGGGGTGTTGGAGGCGTAATGGGAAGACCCTCCCTTGTAAGTAAGCCTTGTCCCTCCTGCGCTTCCTGGGTGGATGAGGAATTCCCTACCAAAGATCTGGAGACTGCTGGGAACGCACTCATTCTGGAGTTGGTTCTGAGCTAACAGATGAAGCAGAAATTGAAGGTGAATGAGGTAGGGACTTAGCTTTTTTTTGGGAAAGACATGAGGAAATTGATAGGCGACAGAGCTCTATGTAATATGATATATAAAATAACAATATCACTGTTAGAAAGGTCTGTTGTGAAACAAGCAAGAGGCCTGTCTTGCCATGAGGTTCCTCTTGTGTTTTTTTTTTTAATAGCAGGAATTCCCACCCCTTTCAGAATTATCTCATTTCTTGTTTGTTTCACAACAGATCTTTCTAAAAGTAATATTGTTACTTTGTGTGTCATATTACATAAAAATGCCATTACTTACACTGTCTTCCATTTTGGGGGCACTTACTACATGGCAGTCCGCCTATGCCAGGTATTCTATAGATACTCATTCTAATCCTTGAATTAAACCCACAAGGAAGAGACTTGTGCCCATTTCATGGAAGAGAAAATAAAAACCAAGTAGTTTGTCCCTCTGCCATTGAAGGCAAAGACTCAAACCCCTGTCTGTGCTGTGCTTCCTTGCTATAGGACAGAATTGAGTATAAATGGGTCCATCTTGCCCAAAAAAGGAGGTGATTCATTTCACCAAGTACCCAAGCACCTGGTAGAAGACTGATGGCCAGGGGGTGTGTCACTTTGCCTGGGACTGTCCTAATCCATGGCTGTCAGCCCAGCACTGACTTCACCCTCTAAAGTTTTCTGGCAAGGATGGTGAGGTCCGTGGTCCCCTGTCCGCCCAGCTTGGGGCTGGATGCCATGTGGTTTCCAGGCGACTATGAAGTGGCATCAGCCCCTCAGGGTCTGGTCCCTTTTGATCCAGTGGAGTTTTGAAGTTTTATCTTCTGCTGGGCTTCATTAAGCCCTTGACTGGTGGGAGGCTCCCCACCTCCCCCCAGCTGTAAATGTTGCGTGGATCTTTGTATTCGGGTTAACAAATTAGCCCAATTAGATGAGTAAATTAGTCATCCTAGCTTTCTGAAGTTCCACTGGAGGAGCTTTGCGAAATAGCATTTATAGTTTTCTAACAAGCAATTTAAAGGACACCAGCATGTGGCATTTGTTTAAGAGTCAAATGTCTTAAAGAATGCCCTACTTAAAAACAGATTTTGAGATTTGCTCATGGACACACTCAGAGAGACGTGGCGGAGTAGCACTCCGGCGCTGGCCCGGGCGAGCACTCTTTTGTGGAGGAGCCACAGCCATGTCCAGACTCGATGAGATCCACATTGAACTCCGAAGACTCATTTGTGCCCAATTGCTTTCTCTGCACCACCTGAGAGTTTCTAGCAGGCTTCAACACAGATCGCTTTGAATTCCATCTGAGTGGTAAATGGCAAGAATCAGCAGCTTAAAGGAGATGAAAAGGGACCCCTCAGAGGAGCCTGGCGCTGGGGGCCTGGGAAGCAACGTGGGAAAAAACGATGCCCTTTAATAGCTAATTGAGAATGCATAAGCGTTCTCGCCGCACTAGGCTCAGTTTCCTCATGTGTGTAAAAGTGACAGTAATCCCCACCTCATAGGGTTACTGGAGGATTAAATGAGATAATGCCTATACCGTGCCTGAAACGTTATAGGCACTCAATAAAGTAGAGGTCCCTTCCTTCCTTCCTGGTTCCTTTCAACTTTTAGCCTCAGAAGCCGGCGTCCCTGTTCCTGGCCCAACTGGCTCTTCAAACAATCTTATTAATGCCTATTAAAATGAAACCCAATAAAAGTGCCAATATTTGGTGTTGAAATAATTGATGTAACAGAGTGAGCTTGCGAAGCACCCAGGCAAGCCCCTGGTGCAATTTAGCCTCACACCTGGGCGATGAATTTCACAACTGTAATTGCTACCATATAATTCTTATTAATGTTGTGCTATAATTCCTATTTATTCCACGGGGCTTGTAAATGCATTAGGACTTGTCAACATATTATTTTACACTGTTTATGATCTGTAGAATTATGTCCTTCAGGGTTGTATTGTGCAAAAGCTCAAAATAAATGGCTTTGGACCTCATTAAAAAAGAGCAAAGAGAGGCTGCCTGTTGCCATGTTCTCCGTCCCCGCCGTCCTGCACCGAAGTCAGTGAAACTGACTCTTGTCAGAGCCGGTAGCCCTCAGGTATAGACAAGTACCTCCTTCCTGTGGGAATGTGTGGCTGTGCTGGGCCGGCCCCACCGGGAAGTGTGCACAGCTGAAAGGCAGAGGCAGTTGCCGGGGCTGATGTGTGCAGCAGTTCTGTCTTCAGGAGTCACAGCTGCATTGACACTGCTGGGTCACCCACAGGGCTCCTGGTGTTTCTGTCCCCCTTCTCCCTCCCTTGGGGTAGCCTCCTGTTAGTTCTAAATTTCCTCGTGGTCTTCTCAGCTCAAATCCATAAAGAAAAAGATCTGAAATTCACTCCCACTGACATGCGTAGTATGCGTAGTAAGTACAAAAGGTAACCCCTTTCCAGAGATGATTGCATTTACTAGGCCAAAGAAGCGTAAGACTAGGGGTATGGAGTTCTGTCCATGTTGGGATGTCAGGCACTGGCGTGTGTGTGTGTGTGTGTGTTTGTGTGTGTGTGTGTTGGGGGTTCTATCATTGTTGCTTGTTTTGGGTCTGGGTCTGGTCTGGAGTCTTCCCTGCACCTTTGAGTCACGGGCCCGCCTGCCATAGAATCGAGCTCAGGCTCCTACTCAGGCAGTTCCCAGCCATGAACTGCTGGGAAGCCCTTGCCTTGGTCCCTTGGATGGGAATGTGGGTCTCTCCCTGCCACGGCTGCTCCTGCTGTCCCGGGCTGCCAGGCAAGCCTGCACTCCCTTGACACTCCCTTCTTTTTGCCCCCACAGGCAGTGAGTACGATGAGGAGGAAGTGGACTACGAGGAGTCGGACAGCGATGAGTCCTGGACCACAGAGAGCGCCATCAGCTCCGAAGCCATCCTCAGCTCCATGTGCATGAACGGAGGGGAAGAGAAGCCTTTTGCCTGCCCGGTTCCTGGATGCAAAAAGAGATACAAGGTAATGGAGGCGCCACCTCACGTGGCGTAACTGCACAGCAAAGGGCACGTGTCATGCCAAGGAGAAGCAGCTTCTTAATTCTAAGGAGAATGTGTGGGTCTGGAGGGATGCTTGCATCTTCTGTGTTCGTTGGTTGCACGGTCCTCGCACACAGGCATGTGAGCAGCCCTTGGGGGGATGCTGGTCCCAGGATCCTGGGTACTTGGGGCAGTTTTCCCTCTTTTTGACCTAGGTGGGAGCATGGAGGTCAGAAGAGATCTTTTGTAGGAGAACTATGTCTCTGATACTCTTCAAACTCGTGTCGTATTGGGGGCCTGTCAGACTATCAAATGTGTCAACCTATTTATTTGCTGAACACCTTCCACAGTAGATGGCTCGACAGGTGGCTCGCAGAAGACCACTTTGAAGTTGCGAGAGCCCCAGCTGGTTCCCAGAGCCCTTTTGGAAACTGTGGCAGAGTCTTTAGTCTCCAACTGAGGGGGTTCTTGCTCCCTTCTGCCCACTAGCATGAAAAGGCACCAGGAGGGAAAGGGGCTTTGATATTTCTCTCGCCAAACCACCCACTTCATCTTGAGCCTCCTCGCTGTTGACCCGTGTCTCTGAGGGCCTGACTCCAGGTGTCATGGGCAGCCAGGGATGCTAAATTTTCTATCAAGAAAACTCAAAGGGACAAAACAATGAGAAACGCCCACAATATTCTGATGTGGGTCCAGAGAGCATTTAAAAAAACAAAATTGCAGATTTTCCCTTGAGGTGTTAGCAGCTCTTTAAAATCCAACTGAGATAGAAATAAAAATTCAGAAATGTACCTGGCACGTTTGATGATATGCTAATTTACTCATAGCTCAGCAGACTGACTTTTTTAAAAAGGCTTGAAAGATGTGCGATAGCATAAGCACTTTTTATATTGCCCCTTCTTAAATATGTCTCTCTGAACACTAAAAAAAATCGACTTCAGTATGTTTCATAGCTGCTATTGCACGAATGTACCAGAAAGGTACAAGGTTTCACCTGTGCTGTGTACTGTTAAAATCCTGTCATGCCAAGTCCAGATGCTCCTTGTTTAATGTGAAATGAACCCCCGGGATGCATGTAAGCAGTCTGTCGGGGTTGCTGAGAATGACTGTGTTCAGGTCAGAGCAGGCCTCAGAAGGCACCTGTGCGTTTTCCGTATGTTGTGAAGGCCTGGAGGTGGGAGCAGGGAAGGGCCGCCCTGTTGTTACCACAGGATGCAGAGCGCCTGCAGGATCCTTAGACGATCTCATTTTCCCAGAGGGCAGCTCTGCATCACAGAGAGAGAGTTTTTCCTTCTTTCTTTCACGGGAGATAAAGCTTGACAGAGAAGGCATCATCGTCCCTGGCCTGCTCTGGGTGCCGGTTCCCTATGTTATGCCCAAGCTGTCCCTCCTTGCTGTGGCCATTGTGCTGCTTTCCCTCAAGGGCCTGAACACTGTTTAAGGCATGTCTTGCCTGTCAGCCATGTTAAAAGAAGGAGCAAAATAATGGCCTGTACTGAGGTCGACCTCTGGCCAAAAAAAGAGGAACATAAACTACAGCCTTTCTCCTGATCACAGAGGGTGAGGCATTCTCTCTCTTCTAGCTTCCTTTCTTTTTCTTTTCCTTTTCCCCTCGTCATTCTATTTTCTTGTCATTATTCTTCTGCTTTTTGTTCTCTTGGGTTTCCAGCAATTTCCCCCTTCGGTCTTCTGTCTGGGTTCATAGGTTCATTTTTGAGTGTCCTCTTTCCATCTAAGGACAAGAGAAAATCCAGTGAACCTTGGGCAGCAGAAGCCACCAGCTTCAGCACCCCTCACTGACAGATGACATGGGTGGCGACTGGGGGTCCCGATCTCCACGAGGGAAGCGTGTGCTTCCTTTTCTGAGCCAGATTGCCAAGTCATGATGCACAGGCCATGAGCAGACATGTAACGATACTCCTTCTAACCATGTGCTTGAGGTGAGCATGGTCATATTCCCTAAAGTTTTGGTTTGACTCTTTCTGCTCGGAAGTTATTGGCTGTTGGGCAGTGGTGTTCTCTAATGTGATTAATTTTTTCTTCTTGTTGACTGCACTTGTTGGCTTGGGTACGAGTGAAAAAAGGGTGCAGTGAGCTGGTGGATGGTGGAGCCGCACAGAATCCAGAAGTGTCACCGTCTTGTTTGTTCCCAGAGCAAGTCAGACTTTTCTTCCCTTCTTTCTCCTGTTGGCAGGAGTCTCTAGCCAGTGTAGCCTCTTGGGCACTGATTCCAGATCAGCTGTCCTCACCATGACACTGGCATTACAGGGCCGAGAGAAGACGAGGTTCCTAACTCCCCAGATGTCACACCCCTGTAGAAGTGGGAGAGGAGCCAGCAGTAGAGCTAAGTCTCATCATTTTTTTCTCATGCCAAGTCCTTAGCCTAGGCTACTCCCTTCCCTTTGCAGGGGAGGAAAAAGATTTTTTCCTCAACGATCACAAATTCTTAGTTGTAACAGATCCTGTAACAAGAGAGAGATTAACAAGAGAAAAACAAGTGTATTCACATGTCTCTTTCATATTTCTATGAGAATGAGTAGTTCTCAGAAAGGTGGCTTTGAGTTCCCAGCTTGTACAGCATCTTCCACAAAGAAAAGTACATTCCAGAGAAGTGACGAGACAAAGGAAAGGGACCTTGAGTCTCCAGAAGCAGCAACTTGTGGGAAGGCAGACAAAGGCTTGTGAGCGAAGCTTGTTAGCATAGATCCCCTGGTTCCATCTCTAGGCTATTAAGGGTCTTCAGTGGTTCACCCCTGTTCCCCCTGAAAGATGGGGGTACGAAACCTTTTGTCTTTGTGAACATATGTCCTGTTTTTAGGCAGAGGGGGGCAGCGAGCTCTCTTGCAGATGCTGAACAATCCTTCCAGCAGGGGTACCTTTCGGGGTGGCATATTCTGGTCCCCCACACCTTCCTCTCTCCATCCATGTCTCTCATTTTAATTCCGCTCCTTTCTCAAGGCCACAGTGCAAGGGCCACCTCCTCTGAGATCCCTTACCAAACTCCCAGACGGACCCCGCCTCGAAGGCAAAGTTGTCATCCTGTCACCTTCCCAAGTGCTCTTTCGACATTGAGGTGCCGTCTCTCTTGTTGCCCCATGACCCTTAAAGCTTACTGTCACCTATACAGCACCCAGCACAGGTCTTGGATATGGTCCATGCTCAAAAGACAGAGGAATAAAGGCGAAATGCAAAAGGGGAGAGAGGAAAATGTGGAATCCCGAAGCAGTGGCAGGGGCCATTCCTTGGATTCATCCAGAGGCATTCCAGGCCAGGCGCCATCGATCCTTCTGGAAAAGAAAGACTTCCCCACCTCATAATTGGGTTTAAATATGGGTTGAAGTACATTGAGGCGTGGTTTTTTTGTTTTTGTTTTTCGTAAGTCAGAGTCTCACTCTGTTGTCCAGGCTAGAGTGCAGTGGTACAATCATAGCTCTCTGCAGCCTCAACTTCCTGGACTCAGGCCAGCCTTTCATCTCAGCCTCCTGAGTAGCTGGGACTGCAGGCATACACCACCACACCTGGCTAAACTTTGGGTTTTTTTAGAGATGAGGTCTCACTATGGTGCCCAAGCTGGTCTCTAACTCCTGGGCTCAAGCAATCCTCCTGCCACGGCCTCCCAAAGTGCTGGGATTACAGGTGTGAGCCACTGCACCCGACCAGTTTTTCCTTTGATAATTTGTTAGAATGGTGAGCATTGAAGATGTTTTGTAACTTTCTTTTAAGAAGTGTAAAACAGAGCCAGCCCCCCCATGTAAGTTTCTCTGAAGGAGTCTTCCGCTGTCTTCTTCAGCAGTAGACAGGCAGATCTACATACACAGCAGCCTATTTAACAAAATTAAAAAACACTTAATGGTGAGGGAATGCTTACAAAGTAACAGTAAGTGGGGAAAAGGCACAAATTTATTTTATATATGTTAGAAAAAATACTGAAAGGAAATAATTCATGTTAACAGGAATTATATCAACATGTTTTTTGTTTTTGTTTTTTTTGAGTTGGGGCCTGTCTCCTAGGCTGGAGTGAACTTCCTGGACTCAGATGATCCTCCTGCTTCAGCCTCCCAAGTAGCTGGGACTGCTGGCACATACCACCACACCCATATAGGTTTTTTAAATGTTTCTTAGAGATGAAGTCTCACTTTGTTATCCAGGCTAGTCTCGAACTCCTGGCTCAAGTGATCCTTGCGCCTCAGCCTCCCAAAGCGCTGAGATTACAAGCATAAGCCACTGGACCCAGCCAGAAGTTTTTGTTAATAGTCTTAATTTTATTATTCCCTCCCTTTCTCTCTCTCTCCTTCCAGCTTTAAACAGTTATTTGTCACACTTCTGTGGCTTGCCTGGCTCTCACCGGAAGTGGTTCTCTTGCAGTTTTTTTTTTTTTTTTTGAGTTGGAGTCTCACTCAGTCGCCCAGACTGGAGTGCAGTGGCCGCTCCCGGCCACCGCAGCCTCTACCCGCTGGGCTCCGGCGATCCTTCCGCCTCAGCCTTCCAAGTAGCTGGAACTACAGGTGCGTGCTACCAGGCCCGGCTGATTTTTTTATTTATTGTGGAGATGCGGTCTCGCCAAGTTGCCCAGGCGGGTCTCGAACCTGCAGGCTCAGGCAATCCACTCACCTCGGCCCTCATGCAGTTCTGTAAGACACCACCTAGGGCTGGAGTCATCGAGGGCTCCTGTGGGCTAGATGCACAAGTGGGCCTCTTGATGCACATGCCTGTGCCTTAGCCTCAGCTGGGATGGCTGGAACATGCAGGGGGCAACAGGGTGTAGCTCCCCATCTCATGCTCAGTGGGCCTGATTCAACCTGCCCCACAAGCTCTGACCCCCAGCATGCCTTTTAACAACACAGGTGAGGTCCTTCCTTGCTCGCATGAGAGGGTAGATGCAGGAAGGCCCAGAGCCAGGCGTTCAGAACATGGTATCTGTCCTTCTGCTTCAACTCACTGGGCAACCTCCGGACTCTGAACATAGCCTACTGGTGACTGCTTGGCACCCTTGAGTTCAACAGTCAAACAGGATTCTCTACCAAAGGACTTCTCAAAAATATTCTCAAAAATATCTAAGAGGGAAATGTAGTCATAATAACCACCAAACATCTTTAATAGCAACTCTCTCAACTTCTTCCGGAACAGTGAGGCACAAAAACATATTGAGCATCTACTGTGTGCCAGGCACTGTGCTAGATACCCTTGAAACAACAGTAAGGAACTGTTTCCTTGGAGCTCAGTGAGAACTATCCTGTGAGGAATGGGAACAAGATTGTGTTGGAATCCCTTAGTTGGGCTTCAGACTGGGCCCAGTAGGACTGAATTTAGGTGACGTTTTAGGAAACAGCCTGCTCTTCAATTAATCTCTGCTCAGCAACTGCATGTCTCAGGCCATTTCTTCTCTATTCCCTCACTCTCTTCTGGCATAGCCGGCTTGGAAACGAAGGCCTGTGCTCAAGCATCACCTCTGCCATTCTTTCTCAAATCTTCTACCAGTTACTTAAGACCTGAGCCCCTTTCCTCACCATTTCATTGGGATGAGCAATAGTGTTTGTTAAATCTGCATTTAACAAGGAGTCTCACATAGAACGGACTCTTACATAGTGTTGGTGAGCCAGCAAAAGCAATTATCAGAAATCCAGAAAGCATTTTGCTAATCTTAACATCCAGACACTTAGAAATCCAGTCTTAGCATTTTGTTGGTAAGACTAACATTACATAAATAACCTAAAACTGTTAGTGTTCATTGTGTGCTTGGAATGTAATCCTTAGGTAAAGGTAGGGCTCAGACTGACCACAGGTGCTTATTTGACATGTGCAGCTAGGCTGGAGCAGAGGATTTGAGAAACAATTCCCATGGTGGCATCAGCGACACCAGCTTAATGCAGAGCAGGAAATGGACAAAAATTCTAGGGACGTGCTAGGGAACTGTTACCACAGTTGTCTAGAAGCAAGACGTAAACGGAATTTCCAAATAAAAAACGTAGACAAGTCTCATACTTTGAGGTGTGCCCTAATCTGTCTTTTTCTTTAGAAGGATATTTTATTGGTCATCCTGATTATCTTTCTATAGGATTACTCACTGTTAACTTTCTTCAGAATGGAAAAAAGACTCAGGGATGGTTTTCCTTAGTCGGAGAGGCCTAGATATGTATTTTATATAAAAATGTGAAGAATTCAGTCCTTTCAGAGTAATTGAGGCACACTTGCAATCTCCTTGTGTCACTGTGTGCGACGGTCTGTATGGCCCATGACTGACATGCCAGACCACCCTTGAAGGGTCACAACCAGAGTCCTTGTGGGAGCCCACTCTCTAAACAGCTGCCTCCCCGGTGTCTTCACTGCAGCCCAGACCCATCGTGAGTTTTCTCAAGTTTGACAGACATTCTGTGACTCCATCTAATAAGTAATATATTTGTCTCCTCCACAGAATGTGAATGGCATAAAGTACCACGCTAAGAATGGTCACAGAACACAGATTCGTGTCCGCAAACCATTCAAATGTCGGTGTGGGAAGAGTTACAAGACAGCTCAGGGCCTGCGGCACCACACAATCAATTTCCATCCCCCAGTGTCGGCTGAGATTATCAGGAAGATGCAGCAATAACATGCTGGTCATAACTGTGCCAAGAAATCCTCACCAGCAGTTGCTGATTTTGAAAACAGCCACCTTTTTTTCAGGGGAAGCACTCAGCAACCCTTTAAAGAAAAAGAATTAAATGCATGCTTTAAATTTTTTCTGTAATTTTGGAATGATGTATCTTTGTAGAGTTAATGATTTTGTACATTTGCACATGTAATCATCATACCCATTTTCATTACTTTGATATAAGGTGCTAAACAAAAAAAGCTCTAGGTTTTTCAGCACATTTCCCCCAAAACAAAATAAAACTGAGGGCATGTTGCATAGTTTAGTCGTATTGCAGTGTATCAACTGGGGGGAGGAGGGGCTGGCACTGAGATTTTTTTTCCAAGATTGTAATGTGATTGAAGTTTTTCAACACATCAACTCATGTATGTTCAAACCAAAATAATACCTTCATTATCAAACTGGTTACCATGCCTTACATAATGGAGTTAGTATTTGTGAGTAGAAAGACTTTAGGTAATGGAAATATAAATAAAAAAAAGAATGTTTAACATAATATGCTAAAAATATTTTCATATTTAAATGACATACATAAAAAGGTGTGCTTTGTGTTTTATATTATCTTGCAAATCCTTTTGCCCTTTAAAAAGCTGAAAATCTCGCCATCTGACTTACCAGTCATTTTAGTGTTATACATGGCATTTTTGTACAAAATAAGTCTGTTCAGTTTCCTCATTAATTTAACACACATTCATTGAGTGCCTGCTGTGTGCAAAGGATTCAGTTTATGCCTATTGATATTTGTGGACCAAGATACCAATTTAGTGATACACTTTTCCCTGAAATCTGTTAGGAAACACTTTTAAAGAAGTGCAAATTTTGTGTGTGTGAAATTTAGTTATGTCTTTATCTTCAGATGACGTTTTAAAGCACTTTGTAGTTCTCTATTGCCAACAATTGAACATTCATGTGTTGCCAATTCTTGCAGCCACTGCCCTAAGCAAACCTGTGGGATGCAAATCAGAACTCAAATTCTAAGCACGTTTCAAGTAACATTTTTGTTAAGGCCCCTACTGCCTCTTCTTCACGCTCAAAGGCTTTTTTTAAAGGCACTTTTTCCATGTTGTAGATGTCTGCATTCCTACTGGAAATGTCTGTTTAGCTTTATAAAACATTTTGCCGAAATATGAAAATGAGCCTTATTGACAATTAAGTGCTTCTTGCAGCAGGTGGTGAAACGAGTGACTAATATGACCCGTTAGAGTAACCTACATCTGGACCATTCCTGAAGTTTTTCCTCACCGACAGTACCATCATGCCTTGAGTGTTCTTTTCTCCCAAGTGCTATTCCTTAAACACAGAGTTTACCAGTTGCCTAATTATGCAATAAACATGGCTTTGAGACAGTTAACTGCCCACAAAACAAACTGGTGAAAAGCAAACTCAGTTTGCTTATAAAGTAAGTTTCTTCCCACGTTCCCATTTGATGAAAAGTCTTATGTTACACATAGCTGGGAAGCAGGGGTCCCTCCTCAATTTTCATACATTTTGAAAGGATGACAATTCTGTTAGCCAGATGAGTTAGCTTCTATATTCATAAGTTATGAATCCCTCATAATGAGGGATTTTAAAGTATTTATGAAGACATTGCCCTCTAAAAATTTGCTCAGATCTCTGAAGAGTGGTGTTGGTCCTGAATATACAGTGTTCTCCTGTGCTTAAAAGGGTGATCCAGACATGAGAAGCAACTAGTTGGTGGGTAAGAAAGCCCTACTTGGCTATTTCATATCTACCTATAATTGACCAAAAAATTTTTAGGCCAGCAATTATTATTTAGCTTTGCTCCTTCTAGTGCAAGAAATGTAGGCTGGATCAGTAGTTCAACAGCTAAACAGTCATAAAATAGTCATTGTGCATGTTAAATTTATTTCAATAAAAAAATTCCAATTTCTATTTACTTATTCATTGTGACAGTATTACTAAACAGGTAAGGATGGGAATATTTTGTTATACCGTGTATAGTGAATGTATTGTACTGTGTCTGTGAAAATTGTGCTTTAAATTATATTTTCATATGTTTTGTTGGGGACAGAGCACATTACGTTTGAAAGCGACAAAGGTTTGTTTTATAACTGAAGGCAACTTAATCAAAATTCCTGTCAAGAAAAGCTGCTTATAAATGTAAATGAAATCACGTTTAAAATAAACTGCCTCTGACCCAGAATGAACATGGCTCTTTATTTTCATTAGTGTCCATTATGAAAACCATCATCAAGTTTACCGTGAGAACTAACATTTCCATTCAGTGCCTTTTCTGTCTTAGGCTGCCTGTTATTCTGCAGAATTTAGTTGATGCATGTAGATTTTATTCCCTTACATGTTTGCTTAGATTAGACTGCATTCCTTTTCTATCAATAACAAATTATTTATCTTAACCTTAGGCCCAAAAACTATTTAAAAATCATTTCTAGCCGGGCTCGGTGGCTCAGCCTGTAATCCCGCACCTTTGGGAGGCTGAGGTGAGTGAATTGCCTGAGTCCGCAGGTTCGAGACCCGCCTGGGCAGCGAGACCTCATCTCTACAATAAATCAAAAAATCAGCCGGGCGTGGTAGCGCATGCCTGTAATTCCGGCTACTTGGAAGGCTGAGGTGGAAGGATCGCCGGAGCCCAGCAGGTCGAGGCTGCGGTGGCTGGAAGCAGCAACTGCACTCCAGTCTGGGCGACAGAGTGAGACTCCAACTCAAAAATAAAATAAAATAAAAATAAAAATCATTTCTAGGCAAGTAAGATAAATACTCTCATTTCTCTAATACTAATTCTGTAATATTCAAAGGATACTTTTAGTTTAGCTTGGTCCATAATTGTAACTGCAACAAAAATGCTCATGTTGAACGTAATTTACCTGAATATATTCATCTTGTCATATAACCTATCAGGAAGCTGAAACTTGGAGTCTTTAACGCGACTGCCTCCTAGGAATGCCACAGCCCAACAGCTGAATGTCTAATACCAGTTTTGCCCTAGACTCAAAAACCTTTTAAAGGATTCCAACAATACACAAATTCTGCTCCAACAAATATAAGTGACATGATATATTGCAGTTCACATATAGCACCCCCAAATGCCACCAAGTCTACATATCAGGTCAACATCTTAAATAGCTAGTTTGCCCAGAAGTATTTTGATAATTACAAAAGCAGCAAAGTCAAGAGTTGGTACTGTAAATTCTTAACATGCACATTATGAGAGAGAAAGGAATACAGTTCAAAAGTATCTTAAAGGGCCAAACCAAGATGCTCAAGATGCTAGGTTAGTGAGAAACTCTCACAAATAAATTTGACAAAGATGAAATTACAGAGCTCAGAAAATGTGTCCTCTTTAATGTTGGTGAGAGTACCATACAAGAGAAACACCACTTTAGAAACACATTAATTTGGGTTTATACATTACATATTTTTAATTACTGAGAATATCCCAAAGTAATATTCTCCTGAGGAAAATGTGAAAAAGATACTGATATACACTCTTATGATTTTATGCCATACCACAAACACCACTGCTATGAGATCATTTAACATGAAAACGATTGTACTGATATATCTTGTTTCATTTTCCCAGTAGGTATAAATACAACTTCAAGATGACTTAAAAATAATCATTCAGGTTAGTCTCAATTTTTTTCATAAAAATATCAAAATATGCCCTCTATTAATTCCTAAAGCCAACATTTCACATATGAAAAGTATATTTGCAAGTATGGTCTCATTTGACTTGCAGCTCCACTTTTAAGTATTAACAATGCTTCATGAGCTAAATTATGGAACCTTCTGTATTCAAAGAATTACTTCACGAGACTGTTATGATAAATGCTTTTTATTACATAATATTTAGTAGTCATGCTCAATCAACAAGGTCAACAGAAACTTGTAAATATTCTGCTAAATAATCTAGCACACTACTACATACACACTTTTTTTTTTAGTGCGGTAACATTTAAAATAATCCTTGTTTCCTTTATTCATACAATTCTGCAAACTGGGGAATAAATAAAGATGTGAATACACAAGAACATCTCTTAAAGCAGGTAAGATTAACAAGATTAAAATTACATTTATTGATAAGCAGAAGATGACCCTGATCCTACTACCACCAAACTCAAAGTAGCTCTTGGTCAGAAAAAGTGCAGTAGAGAGTGCATGACAGTGACACTTAGTGGTCTCCTCAGTGGGTTATTTGAGGTGATTTTTTTAAACTGCTATATTGTATTAACTCAAAATAAAAAGTAACTAGTCAAAATTTAGCACATTCTGATCAAAATGGGTCTGAACATGCCTTTCGAACCCCTGCTGGTCATAGTCAGGAGGGAACTGCTCGCTGCACATTGGGCACACCTTCCAGTGGCTTTCAACATGTTCTTCAAATTTGCTCTGATCATAATTGGGAGGGAACATTACTTCACAGAGGGGACACTTCTTGTGAACATCAAAGCTTGAAGAAAGAGGAAAATGAAAATTACTTATGTATTAACAGTAACTGTCAGCATATAACAAGGGTACATTTATCTAGTTAGCTGATATTCATACTAAACAACCTACCTTGAAAGTCTCTAGTTCCTCCAGAAACCTTTTTCTGCTTCTAGATGCTTGCTATAGACAATTGTGTAATCCACTTATACAGCCTCTAAACTTAGTCTTACAATTAGATTGACAAAAACCTTTATTTCATTAAAACCCCTCAAATCTAATCGCATTTATGTGAAATGAGGCTTAGTGCTAAGAATTTTTCAAATTTGCACTAATAAAAAATGCCTTTTGTAAACTTTAAGGATGAATACAACTCTCAGTTTCCCAACAGTGCATTTGGTTTGACAGCAAAGGGTTTTTATGGCACAGGTTCTCCAATGACTGCATGCATCAGAATCAGCCAGAGGGTACGTTAAAACACGTACTGCTGGACCCTACACCTGAAATTTCTGGTTCAGTCAGCCAGGACCAAATATGTGCATTTGTAACAAGTTCCCAGGGAACATACTTTGAGAACTACTGGTCTATGTAATCCAAATTCTACAAAGGAAAGAGAAAATTACCTGGAATCAAAGCAAAAGCCTGTCCCATGCCCACGTAAAGGCTGACTTGGAGGATCAGGAGCAGTGGGCACATTCTCATCTTCCTAGGGAAAAAAACAATTTTGCAACTTTTAAGAAAAGTAAAACTAAATATGAATTCCTTAATTCAATCAAGCACATAATGACAGTATAAAGGAAGCAAGATTATCCTTAAAATAAATTTTATCTCTACTATAACTCAATTAGACTTTGAAATAAACACTTTTGAAAGTAACTTTGTATGAAGTGTTTAACTACAGGCTAACAAGTCCGACCTTCTAGAATAAAAAGCAGTATTCAGTGGAAGACACACCACACCTGGCTGTGTAACTGAGGGTGAGAACAGCACATCTTTTCAAACTTATATATGTAGGTAATGAGGGACTTTTTATCATTCCATAGACTGGGCGGTTCTAACTATTCTCATTTACTGTTAATTTACAAGACAGTATCTTTGACAAGATACGAGCACTGCATGATGAACAAATCATAAATGAAGGAAAATTAATAAAGTATGTGAGGGTTTGTAAGTGTATATTCTTGGGCACACACACTGGCAAATCCAACTGGAAAACACATGTTAAAGTAAAGCAGTGCACCAAACTACAAGCCTCAAGACCCTGTTGAACAGAATTCAATTTCTGATTTACCGGTTGTCAAAGTAAGACTACTAAAAATCTGTAACCTGAGTTTTAATCAGAAAGAAAACAGTGATCCCATGCTCGCAGCCCAGTGGTTCATTTTTAGAGATCTGTACCTGCTATATCACTGAATCTCACTTAACACTGAAACCAACCATGTCACCAAACTGCCCACTGGCTTTCTTCCTCTCCGCAGCTGTTAGCTGCTCTCGTGTCATGAATTGGCAGCGCATGATCAGGTGTGGCAGGCACCCAGGAAAGCCCTTATGTTGCTAGATAGTTATGCTTGCTCCGAAGTTGCTATTAATAGGCTGCCACCTATAATAATAATAAGTCTGCAACTGGAAGAGGTACCAAGGCAGTATATATGGTGTGAAGTGCAAAGTAAGCAAATAAGCAAAAGACAAACTGGGTATATCTTTCTGTGGTAATTGGCTATCATTCTGACAATTTTCCCCTCTTGAAGAGTAAAAGAAGGGGTAAAGTGCGTTTGTATAGTTATGATTCCCATGGGCTGTAACTGGGCAAAAGGAAAACAAGACAGGTAACCAAATGGGGAGTTAAATTGAGGTTAAAACACAAATATTTTGCATTCCTCAATAATTGAATCTCCAAGTAACTAAATCCAAGCAGCTTGTAAGTCTGTAGGCACAAACCAGGAAGATTATACAGTAGCTGAATCTAAGCTTAGTATGTATGACAGTGAATTTTGATTCTGTGCTAAGTGACTCTAGCTCCCAGATTTAGGCCTTCCAGCAACAATATTTGGAATACTGAATATACTTAAACCACTATAAACTGGTGATAATGAACACCATTTTCTTATTCATCTTTGAAAACAACTTCAAAGTTTTGAAAGAAAATAATGAAAAAAGATAAAATAGGGCAGGTCTTGATAATTCTACTTCTCTGAATTCTTAATGACAAGTATTTAGCATAGAATACAACTTTCTGGAGGCCAATAATAATAATGAAGTGAAAAATCTCATCGCCTCCTTCCCTTGTTTTATAACAGCTAATAACTTACACCAATTTACTGCTTCCATGAACCAGTTAATATAGAGATTGCAGCTAAGGTGCCAGACTCAGACAACCTATCACACATGTTAACCCTGCTCATTAAATACCTGAAGGGGAAAAAAGTAAAAGTAACTTACACTTTCTAAGCCATATACAATTTGGTAATGATAACACTATTACTGTGTTATCTTTTATTATCTATTACTCAATAAAAGGAGAAGAACTCTATATGTTATGATTAGAAACACCAAGTTCTCATAAAGCATAAATCACCTACTCAGAGAACAGTCTGAAGTTAGAGGGCTTACTGCAAACTTTCTAAGTAGTCAATTCATATAATAAAGTCTCTCATGATATTGATATGCAAAATGATCAATGAAATCTTTACTCAAGAATACATTTATTCTGCCAGAAGTAAGTCTGATTAAAAAAAAACAAAAACATTTACTCTATTTAGCTCATCAAGCTTGGTTAATTCATTTCCAAAATTATAGTAATTTAAAAATAGCAAATCACATGGGGAAGTGAGGCTACTAAGGCAGGCCCACTGGCAGCAAATAAAAAATAAATAAAAAACTATCGAGAAAATACAGGAACTCCAAAGATTCAGTGGTAGACATTTCAGCACTGGATCACAAAAGCTTTATATCCATCTTAAAAGAATATGATATCATTTAATGTTGACTTTGAAATTAATAAACCTGAATCATTAAGGTTATATTAAATTCTTAAAGATGGCAGAGAATCATGTATTCTATTTTAGAAAAACATCTACTCAAAATTATTAAATTGTCAGTGTCAGCACTGAAAAGCATAAACCCAAAACATAATAGCAGATTTTAAAGTATCAACACCTAGTATTTTAGTTAAGCTGCTAAAATAATCTTCTAAGCAAATTTAATTAGGAATACCATACTGAAATCTATTAATGAACAATTCCAAATTGTTAGGAAATATTTCTTTAAAAATACACACCCTTATTAATAGCATTTTAATCCTTTTAAAAGTCTAAACCCCTTATAGTATTCACTACCTTTATGCCCATCAGCACAATACTGTTTCTATTACAAATTGGTTTTTAGGCAAAGGAAACAAGCTATGGTAATCTAAAGCTCTATTTGCAACCCCAAAACTTCTCATATGCTCAACCCTAAAAACATTCATGTTTCCATATATAAAAGTATATAGACAGCTTAGACATTTGAAACAGTATTGAAATGGGTTAACGTCTTGGACAAGAAAGTAAGATTAGATCACACTTAATCCAAAATGATATTATGATCATATGGTAGTTCCTCAAAAAATTAAAAACAGAATTACCATATAATTCAGCAATTCCACTTCAAGGTGCACACGCAAGAGAATTGAAAGCAGGAACTTAACCAGATCTATTCTATAATGAACCCATGTTCACAGCAGCATTAAATACGATAATCGAAAGGTAAAAATAACCCAAATGTCTATCCATGGATACATGGATAAATAAAATGTGGTATGACCCATACAATGAAATATTAACTCTTATTAAAAAGGAAATTCTGACACACAATTACATCATGGATAAACCCTAAAGACAGTATGCTAAGTGAAATAAGTTAGTCACAAAAAGATAAATTCTATATGATTCCACTTACATAAAGTACCTAAAGTAGACAAATTCAAAAGATCAAGTAGAGTAGTGGTAGTAGTGGTTTTTGGGAGTTAGATGAGAGGGATGGGGGTTGTTTAATGGGTATAGAGTTTCGGTTTTACAAGATGCAAAGAGTTTCTGGAGGTTGGTTGCACAACAATATAAATGTACTTACCACTACAGAACTATATGCTTAAAACAGTTAAGATGATAAGGTTTATGTTAAATGCATTCTACCACAATAAAAAATGTTCCCTATCATGATCAAATTCTAGCAATATACACTCAGGGGCTAATGACTGAATAACACCATCTGGATCAGTAGTATCTAGACTATGGAACTGTATCTACTCAGCATTTCCCAATCTATGTTGTAACTCTACCTTTGCTGGGAATTATTAATTGAAATATTTAGGTATAATTTAGGAATAAGCAATGAATGTCAAGGAAGAAAGGTTCACCACTTAATAAAATTTTTACTAAGTTGGTAATTATTACTTTAGTTCAAGAGCATTCACTCTTTAACACATTTATATATTTGCTAAAGCCAAAGTCAACACATAAAAGAGAGTGCCCAATGAGTGTGCAAATTTTAATTAAAACAAGAGAATATTTCTCTTTGCTCCTCAAAACTCTGTATTATTAGGTAGTACTAGTTAACATTCCTCCTCTTATTTATGAGATGCCATTGTTTAGGCTTTGCCAGACATTCATTTCTAGTAATATGCCAGTCAATGAAGGAATACCACTGAACTATATAATTTATATATTTAGGTATTTAAAAATCAGAAAGCAAATAACTTTGTAAATCTCTATTCATTTGCAAAAGTTTTAGTTACTTTTCTCCATATTCAAAAATCAGTGCAAAATGGTTTTAACTATAAAATTCTTAGGAGGAAAAAAATAGCTTTAACTATAAGACCCCCAGGAGAAAATAAGAAATCTTGGAGAGGTAATGGTTTCTTAGGAATGAAAACAAAAGTATAAGCAACAAAATAAATATAAGTTCAATTTCACAACACTAAAAAGTTTTGTGCAGCAAAGGACACCATCAAGAAAATGACGACAACCCACAGAATGGGAGAAAATATCTGTAGATCATATCTGACACGGGACCAAATTTTTAAAGGGTCAAAGGAGTCAAATTGACATTTCTTCTAAGAGGATACACAAATTGCCAACAAGAACATAACAGATGTTCTACTTCATCAGCTATCAGGAAGATGCATATTAAAACCACGATGATATACCGCTTCACAACACTAGAATAGGCTATAATCAAAAAAGACACAAGTGTGGGTGATAATATGGAGTAAATGAGACTCTCCCTCACACACTACCAGTGGGAAGGTAAAATCATGCAGCCACTGTGGAAAACAATCAGGTAGTTTTCTAAAGTTTAAATGCAAGAGTTACCAGATGACCCAGTAATTCCAGTCCTAGGAATTCCATTCCAGCAAATGGTAGGTCAATTCCACTTTCTCAAAAGAAGTAAAAACAGAATTCAAACAGAAGCTTGCACGCAAATGTTTAGAAGAGCATTATTCCCAATAGCCAGAAAGGTGAAAATAATCCAAATGGCCAACAGATGAAGAGGTAAACAAAAAATGGTATAGTTGACTCTCCCTTATCCAAAATATGTGGGACCAGATGTTATTTCAGATTTCAGATGTTTTGAGATTTTGTAATATTTGTATTATACTTACCAACTAAGCTTCCCAAATCTGAAATCTAAAATCCAAAATGCTCCAGTAAGCATTTGAGTATCAGGTTGGCACTCAAATAGTTTCAGATTTTAGAGCATTTAGATTTCAGATGTCAATCTGTATACCCAAAAAAGAGAATATTCCTTTTTATTGCTGAATAATAAAGTACATTCTTTCTGCTAAACATGGGTACATGCTAAAACATGGGTAACTTTGAAAACATTATGCTAAGTGAAAGAAACCAATCACCAAACACCACAATGTTATGATTTGATTTATATGACTAAATGTCCAGAATACACAAATCCATAAGAAAAAAAGTGGATTAAGCGTTTCCTAGGTTGGGAGGAATGGAAGAGATAACTGCTACAGGGTACAAGGTTTCTTTTTGTCATGAGGGAAATATTCTTAAACTGATTGTGGCAATGGCTGCACAACTCCTGTGAGTATACTAAAAACTACTGAATTGTATACTTTAAAAGGTGAATTGTATGGTTATGTGAAGTATATGCTCAATAAAGCTGTCACCAAAAATTGACTACTTTTCTAAGATGAGCTAAATTTCAAATAGTTTAGTAGGCAAAAAATTAAACAAACACATTTATCTATCTACAATCATTAATAACAAACATTTAAACAGCCCCTACTTATGGAAGACATTATAGTATGTGGTATAGGAAAGAGAAAACTCAGTTTTAAAGGACGCCAATCAGATATATAGGCCAGTTGGAAATAATTATGTATAAAAAATTTAAAATGGAACAGCATAGAATTCATTTATCCTTTTGATGATGTGCCCAATCATAGGCTGAGTATGCATAATCTGAAAATCTGAAAACCAAAATGCTCCAAAATCCAAAACTTTCTGAGCACGACATGATGCTCAAAATGATCACTGGAGTATTGCGAAGTTTCAGACTAGAGATGCTCAACCGAGAAGTGTAAAACAAATATTCCAAAATCCAAAAAATTCTGAAACCTGAAACACTTCTGGTCTCAAGCATTTGGGATAAAGGCTACTCAACTTGTATGTATTTTTTTGTCACTTATGCTTCTGATGTCATATGTAAGAAACCATTGCCTAATCCAAGTCACAAAGATTTATACTTCTGTGGGGGTTTTTTTGTTTTTGTTTTATAGTTGAGCTCATAAATTTAGTTAATTTCCAATTTGAGTTAATTTTTGTAGATGGTGTGAAGCAGGACTCTAATTTCATTCTTTCATTCAACTGGATAAACAGTTTTCCCAGCACCATTTGTTGCAAAAACTCATCTTTTACCATTGAATTAACTTGGCACTCTTGAGAAAAAATAAATCGACTGCTTATATACTGTTTTTGTCAACAGAAAACACGTTAAAATAAAATTTAAAAGACAATATATGAAAAATGGCAAATTTGAGAAAGGCAAAAATTCAAACGATGCACCACAACAAATGGGAAACAGGCCTTGAATCTCTAAGCAGTGGCTCTCAACAATTTTGAAGTCACAGACCCTTCTGAGAATAAAAGATAAAACTCATCAGAAAAAAAAATGTGTATTAACAAAACTGTCTTCAGTTTGGGGATTAATAGTGAAGGACTCATGGTGGAAACCGCAAACAAACTGCATTTTAACAAGAATGGGCGAGACTTCGTCTTTCAAAAATAGAAAGGAAAGGAATGAAGGCAGAAGGGAAACACAATAAACGCATGCCAACAGCTGCAAAGTAGGATGTGCATTAAAGGGAAGAGAAAGTAATCTGGCCCTGAATGATGAGGTTAGGAAGTTTAAAACAGCACACCCTAAACATTACCAAGTATATGATCACCTAAAGATTTTGTTAAAAGGAGTCTGACTCTAGTAGGTCTGGAGTGGGGTAGAAGATTCCACATTCCCACCAAACTTCTAGGAGACACCACTACCACTGGTCTACAAACCAATTTTTAGAGCAAGACTTAGACCCATGATTCCCAAAATTGGGCATGAAAGTGCCTAAGACACATAGATTCAAATGGTTGAGGGATAATTTTGTCAAACGCCACGTGAATAACTACAACAGTTGAAGACAGTACACAGATTCAACTTTAGGTGGTGCTGCATTCCTTTCAATGACATCTTATCTTTGAGAAACTAGGCTTTTGATGGTTGCTGTGACAAAAAGCAAGAGCCATGTGAAAACCAGTGTGAAACAGGAAATGAGGGGTGGCTTGGCCAGTCTATTCCAAGGCTTGAGAAGTTGTGCTGTGGCCGGCCAGTTGTCACACACATTCCATCAGTAACTGGTTATTTAAAAATGAAATAAAAAAGATTAATTTTTCTTTCAATTTATGTGTACTACTATTTTAAATGGTTACTAAAGTTGTTACAAGACAAATACTTGTTAGTTACAGTAAGTCCTCAGCATCATAGAGAGGTTCTTGGAAACTGTAACTTTAAGTGAAATGACTTATAGCAGGTCCTCATATAACATCATTTCTCTCAACATTGCTAAACTATGACGTTGACGAGGAAAAAAGAAACTGATTTCATTATTCATCATTTTGCTTAAAGTCACAATTTCCAAGGAAATGTTAAATGAGGACTCACTGTCTTTCTCTTGGCCTGGGGATTGGGATGCTAAGGGTGCCTTAAACACTAACAAACTATGGGAACCTCTGCTTTGGTCCACGTGCTAGGTGGTTAAGCTACAGCTCCTACAGCTAATCTGATGAGATTCAAATCCTGCCCCCACCCTTATCAACCATGTCATTTGAGGCAAGCTATTTAATCTGTCTCTCTCCCTTTCCTCCACTGAAAACTAGTGACAGTAATAGTTCCTTCGATAGGACTGCTATAAAAAACAAATACATCACTACATCTAAAGAACTTAACATTAGCTGGCAAATAGAGGTATAGAAATGTTTGCTGCCATCGTCATAATGTTAAGAGTTATTACAACTATTAGATAAATGGGAGTCATAAAAGGCTTTTGATCTGATAGTTGACCACTGTTTCTGGTGCAGACGGGAGGAAATATGGCAGGTGTAGGCACTGGAGAAGACTCAAAGAACAGGCCACCACATCCGTGACTCCAAGATGCTGGGGCCTATGGCTATTAATCCCTCCCAGGGCAGAAAAACAGAGAAAGAATGGGTAAACTCAAAACTACTTTCCATATTTTTACTAAAATTACTTATTAAAACACTTCATTTGCAAGTGATCTTTGCTGTTGTAATGAAAAATTTTTTTAAAGTTCTGAATGTACCTATATATTACTTTCTAATGTAAAAAAATCTTCTGTTACAATAAAATTACTCAGGGTGTACGTATTAAGAGTCCTCCATCTCATTACCAAATCTAAGCATGTCAGCAAATGAGCACAAGACTCTAACACTGCTTCTCATGGGTTTGCCAGAGGGCAAAGCACACAGATCAGAAAGAACATTCTGCTAATTAAACTGAAGCAGATGACTATGGAAGAGAAGGGCTTGTCACATGTAACATCTGTGCCAAGAATGATCAGATTAAATATGCAAAATATGAAGTAAAGGTGTGAAAAAGCAGTAAGATGATACTCTAGACCTCAAATAGGCTACAAAAGTTCTGACAGTTTTCCTAATTATTCCCAGTAATGGACATAGGAGGCCAAAAGGTAGGAGGAAGAAATACATTTTTCTCCATTATAGGTGTTGAGCACTAGGGCTAAAATCATGCCTGTCTGAACACTGATCAGTTTCTGCAAAGGTTAATAGCAATTAAATGCAGCAAACTAGATTAAATGAGAAACAGGTCATGATACCACTGTACTTGCAAAGAGCACAATAAAGCATTTCTTTTAAATTCATCTTAATGCACAGGAAATCCAAAAGGAGCTGCTATGAGGAAACAAACCTATTTATTCAATAATGAAATTTTTAAAAATGACATGCTACACAAACTAATTCAATTATCACCAGTATTGTGTTCCTGCCAGAGAATAAGAAATGCTATGCAAATACTAAAGATGTCTAAATACGATTTCCCTGAAAAAGGAAACCATTATATGACACATACACTTCTCTCTTTTTCTGACTAAAAGTAATAAAGAGTCCACACTAAAATCTGAAGTGGGATACAAATGCTAAAATGCGAATATGTACACTGAAGCATAATACTGCCATTAACACTTTGCTTCTTCCAGCTCTGTGCATCTATGTCAAAAGAATGTAGTTAAGTTACTCAGTGACAATTAAGATCAGATTATCTGATAACTACAATATTCTGACAACATTCACTGAACTTAATCTTTCACTTTAGCATGTAAATTCTAAAGTATAAATCTGAATCATATCAGTAGATTTTTTGAATTTAAAAATACAAGGTTTTTTCAAAAATTCTTCCAAATACTTCCAAAACATAGGCAATTGTGTGCAGACACAAGCACATACTCTCTATCCACAGACACCTATATACACATGCACATATACGTAATTCTCTACCTAAGATGGAAAATAAAAGGGACAGGCTTGTGCAATGGAAATTCAGTTTACTTTGCTATCCTCGGGGTCTTCTAAGCCATCAGGCCGGCTAAGGTTTCGAGCAGGCTGGCTGCAGACAACATTGTCTTCCAGTCCCCAGGAAGGGACTCTCACAGGGGGCCTTTGGATTTCATCTGGGTAAAAAGCACCATCTGCTCCATCTGTAATAAAAATTTTGGATAGGCAGGGTGAAACTGGTTACTAAAGTTAGCATCTCTAAATACATATATGATGAATAAGATATAAATAACCACTTTGGTACATCAAAATATTCATGTTTTTATTTTTAACTCAGGTGAATTTTAAAATGTGATCTATATGTAATAAGCAAATAAACTACTCATTTCATAGTGTATCACTTCTAGACAAGGCCAGTTACAGGATTAAATATTAAAACTGCTATTTATGCTTATAAAATAGTATCTCTCTTAGAATTGACTGTACCAGTGGTTCTCTAACCCATGAAAATAGAAACCAGAAAAAATCTACAGATTCAGCTAATCCCAAACCAAAAATATTTTAATAACCTCTTATTTCCTGTGTTGCATAAGGATTACCGTATTGCAGAACTGGTTGTGCATTTGACAATGCAGGAACATGACCATTTTGCTCTGAACATGTATTGAGACACTGTGAGATCTGCTGAGGACTCTGGGAATTCTGACCTTCCATTTTCCCTTCTGCTTGATTTTTAAGACTCCTTTTAATTTCCTAAAATTAACAAAAACAAATATGAATAAGCAAAGCAATCATGTATTTATAAGAAGGGCAGTTTAAACATTTAGCCAAAATATAACAATAAAATGATTTCCCTATAATGTAGTTGAAGAAACAGTTGGAAAAGCTGGCTCTCAACTCCTCATAAGGGTACCTGACAAATACAGCACATTCAGAAAGCAGAATAAAGCCAATGTATTTTCAAATTTATCTGTGCCCCAAAAGTGCCCTTCTCTTTGAGTCAATTTAGGGGAAACTGTGTATCTTTTACAACTCAGCTATTAATAAAAAGTATTTTAAAAGAAGAAAAGCAGACCGCTTCCTTAGTGAATTCTATCTAACATTTAAGATTTTATAGAAGTAATCCTGTGTAAAACCTTTCAAAATACAGAGGAAGAAACATTTCCCAACTTTTTTATTTTTTTTTAAGTTGGAGAGGCCAGATGCAGTGGCTTACTCATGGCCACCTGCTGGGCTCAGGCTATCCTTCCACCTCAGCCTTCCGAGTAGCTGGAACTACAGGCACATGCCACCACGCCTGGCTAATTTTTTTGATTTATTGCAGAGATGAGGTCTTGTCAAGTTGCCCAGGCCAGTTTCAAACCCCTGAACTCAGGCAATCCTCTCACCTCGGCCTCCCAAAGTGCTGGGATTATAGGTGTGAGCCACTGCATCTGGCCTCTCCAACTTATTTTTACAAGGCCAGTAAGTACTATTCTGATACCAAAAACAAACAAGAATATCACAAGAAAACTATAGACCTCATCCCTCATAAATATTGAGGCAAAAGCTTTAACTCATTGGTAAGTCAAACCCTACAATACTAAAAAATAAAATAAAATATCACACACCAAAAAGTCAGTTTAAAATCCAAAAGCCAATCAATGTAATTTGCCATGTTAATAAAGGGGAAAAAAACACATATTATTACAATAGATGCAAAAGAAACATCTTACAAAATTCAAGTCATTCATGATTTTTTTTTTAAAATCTCAGCAACCAAAGAATAAAAAGGAACTTCCTTAGCCTGATAAAAGGCATCTAAAACAAACCTACAGCAATCCTTAATTGTGAAAAGTTAAATGATTCCACTGATGATCATAATAAAATCAATAATTAGGCAAGAATGTCTGCTCTCAGTGCTTCTGTTCAAAACACCCATGAATTAAGGCAGACAGATTGGATAGGAAGAAGTTAAACTTTATTCACAATGCTATGATCATATATATGATAAATCCTAAGAAATCTATAAAAAACTAGGAAAATGAGTGAATTTAGCAAGGCTGCAGTATACAAGGTCAATATTTAAAATCAATTGAATTCCTAAATATCAAACAATTGGAAAATAAAATTTTTAATAATTGCATTTACAGTAAAATCAATATCTAAAATACTTGGGAATAAATTTAACAAAAGAGAGTAAGAAAGAAAAAAAGATGTGCAAAGCCTATACACTAAAAACAATGAAAGAATGCTAAGAGAAATTAAAGAAAGCATAAACGAATGGAGAGATATACCATGCTCATGGACTAGAAAACTTAATAATTTTAAATCATTAATTTCCCTCAAATTAACTATTGCTCCAGTGCAATCCCAATCAAAATCTCAGACTTCTGAATACATTGACAAGATAATTCTAAAATGTACATAGAAATACAAAGGTCCTAGAATAGCCCATGTTTAAAAAACAGAACAAAGTTGGAGGGTTTACACAACCTGATTTCAAGATTTATTATAAAGCTACAGTAATCAAGACAGTATAGTATTGACATAAGGACAACCTATAGACAAGGGGCTGGCAAACTTTTTCCACATAGGACTAGTAAATATTTTCACCTTAGTAGGCCATGCAGTCTCTGTCACAACAACTAAAATCTATCTCTGCTGTTGCAGTCATAGATGCTATCTATGTGAATGGGCACAGCCATGTGCTAATAAAGCTTTATTTACAAACAGTCCAGTAGCCAGATTTGGCATATAGGTCTCAGTTTGCAAACCCCTGATAAAAATCAGTAATACAGAAGACAGAGTCCAAAAATAGACCCATACTTATAGAATCAATTTTCAACACTGAAAATATCTCAAGATGTAGAAATAATTCTATGGAGGAAAAGATGGTCTTTTCAATATGATATTTAAAAACTGGATAGCTATATACTAAATAAACTTTGATTACATATAATACCATACAAAAAAATTAAATAGATTATAGACCTAAAGTAAAAGCTAAAACTATAAACCTTTTGGAAGAAAAAGTAGAAGAAAATCTTCATAATCTTGAATTTGGCAAAATTTTAAGACAGGATACAGATAACAAGAACCATTAAGATAAATATTGATAAACTGCACTACTTCCAAATTAAAAGATACTATCTTTAAAAAAAAAAAAAAAAAAGGCAAGCCACAGATTGGGAAAAATATTTCCAAAATATATGATAAAGGAGTTACAGCTAGGATATATAAATAATTGTTACAACCAAAAACAACAACAAAAACTCAATAAAAAATAGGTAAAAGATCTGAACAGACACTTCACAAAGGAGTATATACAAATGGCCTGTAAGCACATGAAAAGATGTTCAGCATTAGTAATTATCAGAGAACTTAAAGCTAAAAACCACAATGAGATAACACTGCACACCCACTAGAATGACTAAAATTAAAGACTCACAATAATACTAAGTGCTGGTGAGGATATGAAGCAGCTGGAATGTTCATACACTGCTGGTGGGAATACAAAATGGTACAGCCACTTTGGAAAACAATTTGGCTGTTTCAGAAAACACACACTTACCATATAAGCCAGCATTTCCATTCCTAGGTATCTACCCAAGAAAAATGAAAACATATGTCCACAAAAAAACTTGTATGACAATGTTCATTGCAGCATTATTCAGAATAACAAAATATCAGAAATAATCTAAACGTGCATCAGCTAGTAAAAGAACTAATGGCCATCAAACTAGTGAATGGATAAATTCTGCATGATTGCAATCATGAAATGCTAGAAGCAGTAAAACTATAGTGACAGAAAGTAGATCAGTGGTTTTCTAGGACTGCAGGTAGAAGAGGGGATGACTGTAAATGAGCAAGAGGGAGTAATGTGCAGTAATGGAAACGTTCTATACCTTGAGTGTAATGACAGCTACAGAATGATACCTATTTGCCAAAATTCATAAAACTGCATTTAAAATAAGTGGACTTTTTTACATGTGTAGTACACATCAACAGAGCTGTTTAAAAAATCAACCAGAAGCATTAACAAAGGATATAAGAAAAAAAATTTAGCCTGTAAAGTTTAGTTGGCTTTGCTGTTTGTCATCTCTTGGGAGCAGAGATGAGACTCTAAAGTTAATAGATTTCACCTATGTAAATGACCCAAAAATGGACTAAGTGACCCTAATCATTTAAAGTAAAACTGGCAAACGCTATTAAAAATGTAATTCAATTTAAGTTTGAGACTAGATATGGAAATTAAAAGTTCTTCCTAAACAATTCCATTTATAATATATAACATGTCCCCATATCAACTGTGCCAAGCACTGTGGTAAAACTGATATTACAGTGGCATTCCTACCTTAGGACCACTCATTATTTTATTGCAAACATGAGATGTGAAATTTTAGGGGGAAAAAAGAATATACTCATTCAAGATATCTAGCACACCATCTATTTTGTAACAGGCATTGTACTAGGAACTAGATACAAAGATTAACTTGACATGGATTTCACCTGCAAGGAACTTGGTCTAATTCTAGATAAATAATCATCATTTAACTGTGATAAGTGGGCTGGTATAGAGATCAACATAAAATGCAAAGTACCAACATGGAAACATTGTCTCCCAGGAAAAGACCATAGAGAAGAGCCATTTGAGTTGGATCTTAAAGAATTTTCATCACAAATAAAAAGCATTCTAGATATGAAGTACATGAAAAGGATACAGAAGATATGAAAAACAATAACATATCTCAGGCATGGTAAACAAATTATATTAGAGCAAAGGACACATACTAAGAGTAGCAGGATATATCACTGGAAAGATAAGTTGGAGAACAGATGTGCCAAATTATTTACTATAGTGGGCCTTCGGGTTTCTGAACTATAATGAGATGGTAAAATGGTCCTTAGTAAAGTTAATCTAGCAAAACAATAGCGAGCCCACTCGAAACAAGCAGCAAATAAGTAGGAGGCAGCATGGCATGGTGGATTGGAATCAGGTTGCCTAGACCTGACTATCAGATCATCAGTACTAATACCCCTAAGAAATTTATCCTCTCTAAGAAATGAGATAGAGGTTTAGAACATAGCAGGCACTCAGTTGAGTTCCCATCTCTTACCATGACTCCAGAGATGCTGCTGTAGTAATTCAAGAATGTGAAAGTGGGATGTGAATACAGAAGGGAAAGGTTACATCCAAGAAGCATTTTCTTTTTTTTTTTCTTTTCTTTTTTTTTTTTTTTTTTTGTGAGTTGAAGTCTCACTCCTTCGCCCAGGCTGGAGTGTAGTGGCATGCTCATGGCCATCCCAGTGTCAACCTGCTGGGCTCCAGTGATTCTTCCGTCTTAGCCTTCCAAGTAGCCAGAAATACAGGCGTGCACTACCTGCCCAGTTAATTTTTGATTTATTGTAAAGATGAGGTCTCGCCAAGTTGCCTGGGTTGGTCTCAAATTCGCGGGCTCAGGCAATCCACTCACCTCAGCCTCCAAAAGTGCTCGGATTACAGGCTGACCCACTGAGCCTGGCCAGTTTTTTGATTATTGTAGAGACAAAGTCTCACCAAGTTGCCCAGACTGTTCTTGAACCCTTGAGCTCAGGCAATCCTCTTGCCTCGGCCTCCCAAAGTACTGGGATTACAGGCTTGAGCCACTGCCCCAAGAAATATTTCAAACATAATTCAAGAAAAAAGAGGACACGAAAGGAATGAAAAAGAGGTGATAAAATACTTCTAGAAATGTTTAATCAAATTAATTTAAGGAAGTATGGCTAAACTC